TTCTTTAATGCAAGGTTTAAAAGACATAAACATGGCAGGAAAATCAGTTCCCTATAGATATCCTGTAGATACAGTGGTACGGGGCTACTTAAAGAACGCCAGTCCTGTACAAGCAAAATGTTTTATTTGAATAAAACAAGGAAGTTATGAAGCTATCGGCAGCGAATCGTCCTTGAAGTCTGCATATATTGACAATTAAATCAAAGTGGCATGGTTTCTTTAGCGCCATAACCAATACATACTGTTTGTTTTGACTAGTTTTAAATGTAATTCCGCCCCCTTTTACGGTGGTGTCACGAACAGATAACAGCCTCATTTAGGATTGAGGTTTGAGTTACATATTTTTAGCTCAACTTCCACGAAATTGACAGAGCGTCGGCGCTCGATTGTGGAAATATTGATAATTCTATATATTTTGAAACTTATGAAACATTAAGTTTTTACAGTTTTTCTGATATGCAAGTGACACTCCGTATGATTAAATAGTGATTAGGTATCAAGCAGAATTTAACCCCTGTCGACTGGCATTTCTACTCGACGAGGATGAAACCAATGACAATTATAGATTTAGTAGAAACATTAAGAGTAAGACCCAGAGGGTTATAATTTCAATTGTTACAGTGGGTGTGAGACCATGATGGTTATAATTTCAATAGGGACAGTGGGAGTGATACCATGAAAGTGATAGTTTCTATAGGGACAGTGGGAGTGATACGATGAAAGTGATAGTTGCTATAGGGACAGTGGGAGTGATACCATGATGGTTATAATTTCTATGGTGACAGTGGTAGTGAGACCCTGACGGTTATAATTTGTATAGGGACAGTGGAAGTGAGACCCTGATGGTTATAATTTATATGGTGACAGTGGAAGTGAGACCCTGATGGTTATAGTTTCTATGGTGACAGTGGGAGTAATACCATGAAGGTTATAGGTTCTATGGTGACAGTGGAAGTGAGACCCTTATGGTTATAATTTCTATGGTGAGAGTGGAAGTGAGACCCTGATGGTTATAATTTCTATGGTGAGAGTGGGAGTGAGACCCTGATGGTTATAATTTCTATGGTGACAGTGGAAGTGAGACCCTAATGGTTATAGTTTCTATGGTGACAGTGGAAGTGAGACCCTGATGGTTATAATTTATATGGTGACAGTGGAAGTGAGACCCTGATGGTTATAATTTCTATGGTGACAGTGGGAGTAATACCATGATGGTTATAGTTTCTATGGTGACAGTGGAAGTGAGACCCTGATGGTTATAATTTCTATGGTAACAGTGGAAGGGAGACCCTGATGGTTATAATTTCTATGGTGACGGTGGGAGTGATACCATGATGGTTATAATTTATATGGTGACAGTGGGAGTGATAGCATGATGGTTATAATTTCTATGGTGACAGTGGAAGTGAGACCCTGATGGTTATAATTTCTATGGTAACAGTGGAAGTGAGACCCTGATGGTTATAATTTCTATGGTGACAGTGGGAGTGATACCATGATGGTTATAGTTTCTATGGTGACAGTGGGAGTGATACCATGATGGTTGTAGTTTCTATGGTGACAGTGGGAGTGAGACCCTGATGGTTATAGTTTCTATGGTGACAGTGGAAGTGAGACCCTGATGGTTGTAATTTCTTTGGTGACAGTGGGAGTGATACCATGATGGTTATAGTTTCTATGGTGATAGTGGGAGTGATACCATGATGGTTATAATTTCTATGGTGACAGTGGGAGTGATACCATGATGGTTATAATTCCTATGGTGACAGTGGGAGTGAGATCGTGATAGTTATAACTTATATGGTGAGAGTGGTTGTGAAACCCTGGTGGCAAGATTCTAAGGGGACAGAGAGACCAAGATGATTATATTTCCTTAGTGATTGAGAGCGAGACCCAAAGGCACAATTGCACAAGCCCTTCTTCAACAGCTTAAAAGCTAAGATTTAAAAAGAAGTTGAAACTTGAACTTTATTTTCAAATTATCAAAATATGATCATCTAAACATAAGATGAGATGTCTTCTGACATTTCAGATTCATTTCTTGAATCACATTTTGCATTCATGCCCCCAAAAGCTAGCCAAGCCAACACAACTGAGGTCTGGTGCATTAAAGTTGAGTATGGTGAATTTTTTTAATTTTTTTTTGGTGGTGGTGGTGGTGGTGGTGGTGGTGGGATAAGAAATGTGAGGTCCTGAACGTTATACAATCTATTTTGAGACAAGGAGATAATGTTTCTATGCTTAATAGTACAGTGATATTCCCTATGGAATATGGCTGCTAATCAACAAGGAAAGTGAGGTCCCTGACGTGATGCAATTTCAACGTCAAACAGATGTGCGATGACCAGATGTGATATAGTTGCTATGGTAACATGGAAATAGGCTCCTTATGTGATATAGTTGCCATGGTAACTACAAGAGTGAAGTTCCTGATGTGATATAGTTTTCATGGTAACTAGGAGAGATTCCTGATGTAACTAGAACACTGACAGGTCAGTAAGGGCCCCGTCTTGTGGCAATATATCCGCCATAATCATCAAGAAGCAATCTGCCCATATAGCTGAGCTTGACGTCAGATATTTGAACTTCAAAAAGAATCGCAAGGAAGCAAAATATACATTTAACATGTACCATGATGTGAGTCTTGTTTCCTAACACCTCCATATTTGCTAAAAGAAATGTAAATACCGGTGCAATACTAATTTGTTAGCTTTGTTATGTTTTATTTCACTTTAAATACCTCCTCCATCAAGAGCCAGGGTCAAAGTCAGAGATTCACTTTGTCTTTGACCTTTGGACCCAAATAACCTTGACCTTTAACCCAGTGACCCTGATCTTTCGTCAGTTGACTTATTCTTTGATTCCGACCAACTTCATAATATCTTAACAAAATGTTCATCAGTGAAATATACAAAACTTGACCTTGACCTTAAACCTTTGGACCCCGTAATTTTGACCTTATGTCATTTGACTCTGTGTTAAGTTTTGAACAACTTTGCTTCATAATAAAATAAAAATAATGTTCATCAGTAAAAAGATACAATATTTGACCTTGACATTGACCCAGTGACCTTGACCTTTGGTCAGTTGACTCCTTGTTTAATTCTGACCAACATTGCTTCATAGTGTCATAACAAAATGTTCCTCAGTGAAATGATACTAAATTTGACCTTGACCTTTGATCCAATGACCTTGACCTTCGTTCAGTTGATTCCTTATTCCTTATTTAATTCTGACCAACATTGCTTCATAGTGTCATAACAAAATGTTCATCAGTGAAAAAATGCAAAAATAGACCTTGACCTTTGAACCTAATGACCTTGACCTTTGACCTCGACTTTTTACCTCAGTGTGTCTCTTTGTTTAATTTCGACCAGACAGACAGACAGAGTGATTACTATAGGGCACCTGTATCTCCAATCTCCTTATAAAGTTGCTAGGGTGACAAGGAGAGTGGGGTTTCTTAATGTGATATAGTTGCTATGGTGACTAGAAGTGTAAGGTTCCAGGTGTGACTTTAACCCTTTCACCCTTAACCCTTTCACCCCTATGTAACTTGAGTAGACTCTACCATGCATTAATATGGATGAGTCCATTATGGTCTACAGTGGTGAAAGGGTTATAAGTAACTTGAGTAAACTCTACCATACATTCATCTGGACGAGTCATTGATGGTCTACAGTGATGAAAGGGTTAACAATCAATACAATTTTATTCAAAACTATATAATCTTACCATGTATTACACATAAGTTTAGTTCAAAAATTGTGCATTTAAATACACACTTTGGCATGGTCTCATACAAATAGACAGGTAAACATAGTCGCCTTGTATATATATACCCTGCAGAGGGGGTAGGGTACTCTTGTCACCCATGGCACTTACCTAGCTTTCCAAGGTGTAAAAATGCCACAGGTGTCTCACACAGAGAAATGAAAGATCAACAGTAACACAAATTAACAAACAAGCAAGGTCTACACAAAGATCATACATTGTAGAGTATATCACTCACCAACTCTCTGTGTCCTTCACAAGGAGGCACGGCAGTCTAGTGGTAGGTGGTCGGGCTTGTGACCGAAGGGTTGTAGGTTTGAGTCATGGCACGGAACTGTGTTGTATCTTTAAGCAAGATACTTCACTACACTTGTTCCAGTCTACTCAGCTGTAAATGAGTATGTGGTTGGGCAGTGCAAGAATTGTAGAATGTAAGCTGTGAGCGCTGAAATGGCAGCACTGGCTGTATGCTCCTCAGGGAGTTGAGAAAGATATTGGCTGGTTGCAAAGGCCTTATGACCACGGATAAAAATTTGTGACGACCTACGAACCAGGTTGTGATAAAGCGGTACATGTATATAAGAACCTCAAATTATTATCATTATTATAAAGTCAGGTAAACCTCTGGAACACTCGAAAGTTTATATTTATGACACTGGACTTGTGTTAAACACATTGTAAACTTAAGACATATTGCAAAATATACTAAACAGAAATTGCATATCTAAAATGTAACTTTCTTCAAATATTCCAGGTTTTTCAATTCCTTAAAATTGATCAACCAACATACACATATTTGCTGACATAAGCGCACAATTGTTGCTTCTCACAATTGTCCATACTATGTATTGATGTGCAAACGACGTATGCAGAATGTGCATATGCTGTTTTAGGTTATTGTATGGTCAAACAACTGTATTTTGATCACCTGTCCAAACACATGGGTTTTCTCCCGTTCCTTTGGTTTCCTCCCACAATAAGTATCAATCCGGGTCAACAAGAGTGATATATAAAGTTTTTTTTACAGAAACAGATGAAAAATATTGCATGAATCGCATATCTATGTAATATGTGAAGTGTTTCAGAATGGCTAATATTCTAGCTGGAAAGGGTAAATATGAAATGTTCTGTAATTATCAGTTGATTAAGCTGTTTATAATACCATTATACAGCACAGCTAATCAAGCATCTGATATGCACAAAAGTAATCCGAACAAAATTTGAAATCACAGGTGTTATTTTATTGAAGCATTCACATCTACAGACTACGTTTTGATTGGTTATGGAAGACAAAGCATCACAATCACGTGGACTACAGAAATCATAATCCTTAATACATTTTACATACAATACACTGATCAACATTGTAACATACAATTAACTCATTCACCCCTGAAGACACATTTGAACTCTTCCAATTCAAAGGTTGGAATAGTTCATTATGAAATGTCAGGGGTGAATGAGTTAAACCTTGATTGCCACATCTACAACTAAAACTGGAATGCCATACACTGTATCTACAATAAACTCATTCACCTCCTGAAGACACATTTGAACTCTTCCAATTCAAAGGTTGGAATAGATCATTATGAAATGTCAGGGGTGAATGAGTTAAACCTTGATTGCCACATCTACAATTAAACCCCTATATATAGCCACCTCGCATATATATATACCGCAAACACATTTCAGGATCCCATTTTCCCTTAACCATTCCTTGATGTCTTGATATATCGCCAAACCTTTTTAAAATGGCAGTTTATTGATGCACAAAGTCTTGTCAGCAAACTTTTGGTGTTATAGGGAGTATCGGATATACATAAAGAGATATATATCTACAGAAATTAACTCCAAAGAAGGAAGAAAAGTGAAATTTGAAATATGTTGGCGGTTTGCAACTTTAATAACTATGACACATACATTTTAAATGCTTTGCTAAAGTAACCACAAAAGATTGCTCTTTGGGATGGATAATTTTTTTCAAATTTGATTGATTTAGGTAAAACTTGAGAGACAAATTAATTTTATAGGCATGAATTTTCTGTTTTATGAAAATGAGAGCATTACTTCAAAAAATTATTACACAGAAACCGTTTGTATGGCCCAAGCTGATGCCAATTGAGCGATACAGAAAATAAAATTGTACAAAAAAAACTCAATGTAATGCCTCGCATTTCATTTGCCACCTCACATACAGCCAATGTAATTCATGGTCCATTTTTTTTCAAGAAATCCATGATGTGTTTCCCTCAATTTATAGCCAAACCCCTGTATAATGCCAAATTTCTGTGTACAAATGGTGGTAGAATAACGAGGTTTTACTGTACTTAAATACTCAGAAATATTTAATTATTTTTAGAGGTGTTGAAACATGTTGAAGGTATTAATATTGTCTCCCTTTGTTCATATTTCCAATCATACCAGAAGGCCTCAGACCACAATTAATTCTACCATATGTTACTACCGAAGGATAAAATAAATTGAAATATTTTGAAACTTTTGCACAGGGTCTGGTTCCTTTTTCATATTGTAGATCTATTCAACCAGAACCTACACAGTGAGCTGGAAAGTACCTCATGACCGGCATTTAAGAAAGATAATTTCATTTGACTGTCACTATACCAAAAAAAACACAAAATATCAATGTGCAAGCCTCATCACTCATTGTGTCCTGCTGCAAATACAAACTTTAAAACTGTGTCAAAACAATTTAATCACTAGAATAGATACTGATGAACAATTCTATGTAAAAAACTGTACATACCTGTGAGTCAGACAGGAAAAATCATTTAGAAATCATTTAGAAACCGAAATGTCCTTATGCACTAAATTCTTGTGCAACGACCCGTAAATGTATTTGTGGCCTGAGGCCAAAAGGTTCAAATGTGCATGGAATAATATAACTGTCTCATTATTTAAAATAGCATTCCAATGTTACAATCAGGTCATATTTGTTTGATTATCTTTACATACACCAAATCTTGAAAACTTTGGCGGGAAACTGGGGAACTAGTTCCGGTCGTGATGTTTTGCAAACAGATGGACGGATGGAAAGATGGACAGATGGACAGACAGCATGACTCGACAGTAATATAACATAACACACTTTATTTGTGCTGAATGTATAAAACGAATGCTAGACATAAATTATTTAACATGCAGGCAATATCAACCAATAAATTGCATATATAAAATCTCAACAACTACCGTATTTGCCATAATTAGCACCCATGGAGCTTTAAAGAAAAAATTGGCTTAAAGTGGGGTTTTCCATTGGGTAATAAAATGTGAGTTGTGAAAGAAAAAGCTGTGCAACTTAGTGCTGTTTTCACCAAAGGCCATTATAAACAGTCAAGTGTTTCATTTGCTTCAAACGAAGTCCTGCCATGTTCACTTGGCATATGTTTCTGCTTTGACAGTTAAATACTATGAATCTGTGACCGAGCTCGGTCAGGTCTCCAATTCCTCCTGAAAAGGGGTAGGGTGCTAATTGCGGCAAATACGGTAAAGAGCATTAAGAAACAAAATATTTCATACAGTATTCATTACATGTAGTTAAGAAATAACGAGGTCAATACTACTGACGGTATCCTCAATATCAGATATTATAACAATTGAAATCGTGAGAGATGTACGGTAACATCACAACAACTCTCTTAATAATTACAAATTTTGATCAAAAATGGACAACAAGAACAACGAATACCACAATAAAAGTAAACATAAATTCATTTATAACAAAAGTGCAAATAATAAATAATTGTACAATGTACATTAAATAAATAACAATGGATTTCAAAATCATTTGTATATTGGAATGTAAATTCTTATTTCAATTTACCGCAATCTATAAATAACCCTGCATACCTACCAAATCACCAGCATTTGTGCAAGTCAACCTGCAAATGACATCTTTGGCCTTCTCAGATAATATTATACTATATTGGGCTCCTTTCCACTGTCGAGATAATGTCAACATGAATAAAAAATTTTCTCCATTATACAAGGAAATACTTATTAAATAAGACTAGTATATTTAAGACAAATTGAAATATTTTAAATGCCACATTGTATTACTTTAGATGACTCTGAGATGTTGAAATACTGAAATGACCTACATTTAGCAGGCTTGACTGTTCAGTTTGACCACCTTTGGCCTTCATTTCATAGTTGAGAATTTGGCAGATATTTATACCTGGTAATAAAGCTGTTCAACTCATTCACCCCCTACAATTCTCAACTGGACTTGACCAGTCATTGATTTGGTAAGGTTCAAATATGACTTTAGGGGTGAATGGGTCAAAGTCAACCCATTGGGTGTAGGAAACTGTTTTCATTATCAAATATATACATTTTTTTATATTTCATAGGAAGCAATATGCAGAAGTGTAAAATTTTAATATGCATTAACATTTTTGTAATATTAGCCATGGTTTGTTTGCTTTGAATTGTGAATTGTAAATATGTTGATATACATATTTATGACTGCATGATTGTGACTACTGGTAAAACATGGGCTCACATCCGGTAATAATCTCACCCCCTCACGTTTGACCATTTTCCCCCACAGACCCTGTGGGTATAACATACTTGCCCAACTCTCCCTATTTTGGACTCTAAAATTGAGCATTTTCAAACACTGAATTTGCTAACTATTCCTATTTTCCAAGATCTGATGAGTGCATCTGAGAGAACAGCTCATTTTTTCCCCCAAGAGTGTATACATCTGACCATGCATAATCTCCCCTATGATTTTTTTTAAAAAGTTGGTAAGTGTGATATTAATGGAAATTGATAATTGTACTAAGAGAAATAAGAAATAACAGCAAATATGGTCAAGGGAGATAATTGCACTAAGAGAATTCAAAATAACAGCAAACATTTTCAAGGGAGATAACTGCACTAAGAGAATTCAAAATAACAGCAAACATTTCCAAGGGAGATAACTGCAACACAAAAATCACCCTGATTAAGTGTAAGGTATGTAGCATATACCCTTAACATGTTTAGGTTAATAAGGTAGAAACAGTAATGCTAAACACTGATACAACATTTACTCAGGTAGCTACCTGGCACTAAATAATATCACAGAAAAAAAAACATTTCAGGGAGACAACTCTCACACAGATCACAGTTAGAATGTATAAGGTAGCATACAACTTATATACCATGAACCAATCACCAACCATATGAAGCAATTCAATATCACATTTTATACACTTCCTTACAAACAAAATGGAATGTCTTATACTGTAATACTCTTCGTTACCAAATATTCCAAATGGCTTGCTCTTATAAACTAAGCAAAAAGTTAATTCAATATAATGACCCTCAGTTAAGTAGCCATCTCACTGCCAACATAATTATCAAAGATAATTTTTTTCATTTTTTATTTTAATAATTCCTTTATATGTGAAAGCATTGAAGTACATTGTTTAAAGTTCTTTTAACTAAAAACTGAAATCAATATTGTGCATATCACGAGATAATTATGCGTTTCAGACATCAATATTTACCAAAATTAGTCTGACTTAGTATGAAATTAGCAAAGGAAATCATTTTGTAAAGAATGACTATAAATCAAAAGCAAAATTTACAGAAAGTACTTATATTTCAAAGTATATATTATGTGCCTTCCACCTCGACCAGCTTGGGGCTGTCGGATGGCGGATGTAGGGACATATTTATCCTGTGGTATTTCCTCAGCATGCTGGCCACACGCTGGACCCGATGTCTGTTGGCCTCGATGTAACACTGGGTTTCCCACATCATATTAATTAGTTGTTTGTTGTCATGACAATCTAGGGGCAGGTCCAATGATAATTGGGGGCTGAATCGTGCGAATGGTACGTTTAGCATGCTGCACCAGGCTCTGGACCGATCCACAGGACTCCCCTCTGATGCAGTGGCCTATAGCAATACAGACAGAGTAATGAAAGGTCATTTAAAGTCAGCTTTTCCTGACATTTTTTTTCTGTTTCATAAATGTACAAAGGGCCATAACTCTAAATAAATACGACACACAACACCCAATTTCAGAATGCAATATTGTCAGGATATTTTTTTTGTGGTTATATTTTTGCGTATTTTGCCCAAGTTTCAAATTTGCATAAATTTAACACATAATAATTTAAAGACTTGAAAAAAAATACTCCAATTGTCTTAAACGTTGCGTGATCTGAATACCAGATTACCTGAATTATGTTTACAAAAGCTTGCTGTTGTATCCATCTGGATAAGCTTAAAGGGTAACATAACAAACAACTAAAAAGATAATATTGTCGTCTTTTATACATTCGACTGGCTACAAATGAAATAACACTGGTAGGTTGGTTACATCAGGCAACACTGTTCAATACCACTGTGTGTGTGTTGAATTTGTTCCACATTTAGATGTGGATTCTGCAATATCATACACATTGATGAAAACAACACAGCTGAAACATGGATTCCATTATTTTCTGTCCACACGCCCCTCACCACGATCTCAGAAGTAAAAACCGCTCAAAAACTTACACTAGCCCAAATTTTACAGCTGATTTCAATTTCAATAAAAAGTTGCATTTTATCATAATAATGATTGCCGTTTAATTACCACTTTCACTTTCAAATTGGCTCAGATCATGATGCACCTGAAGTGTTAACACACATGCAGTGAAAACTAGTCACAGGGATTCGGTAACCCCAAACTTCCACTTACCTGATCAAGGAGCATGCTGGCCAGTCCAGATATTCCTTTCGCCACCTTGTGGATCTCAAACACACTCTCCGGCCTGTACACATCAATGTGCTCGTTGCGAACGACAGGGACCCGACCAGTGCCAAGGGAGACAACACAAACTAGCGGGTGAGTCAGGTGTGTCTCATTCTGCAAGAACCAAATAAAATAGCAACACACCGCCATTTCCTCCGTATAAATGCCTGGTCTTTTAGAGGAAAAATGGTGTCTGGAATACACACACCATTACATTCTGTTACAACAAAACGAACACATTTTTTAACCAACTAGAACACTGAGAGGTCAGCAAGTGCCCTGCAATGTGCTTGACCGAAACAACCCTCCCTGCTACCCTCCTCCTTGTCTATTTTTAGTTAGACTTACCTTTCACTTGGCCTTAAAAACTTAAAACCCCTTTTGCACATCATCATATCTCATATCACTGTGAATCACCATGTCAAATTTCAAAATGATTAAACTTTTGGATTCCAGTCGTTTATCTTTTGAGATAATCTCTTGAAACGAAAGTGTGGACAAACAGACAGATATAATGTGATAACTACAGGACACCTGCATCTCTGATGCAGAGCCCCTAAACTATGTAACATTTTTTTAAATCATTCTCTGTTTTTGTAATTTTTGGTATTGAAATGTGTTTTACTCCTGACAACTAAATCAAAGATAATATTAGTTTTGTGCAAAGTTGAAAGAAAATAAAAATAGAAGCATGATACCTTTAGTCTGAGTCCAGTGTTGTACTCGTGGATCTCCGTGAGCATGTCCAGAGTGGGATTGTTGGCGATCATTCCGCCGTCCACAAACCGGCCGTGAGCCCTGAAGTAGGTAGGAGCCGCACCACTGGAACGTGCTGCTTGCCACATCTTCTGTTCTGGAAAATGAAAAATACGAAACTGACTTAATTTCTAAACACATCAGTGTATGGTACAGTATAATGTACACTGGAAAAAAAAAAAATCCCCCCACGTAAATCTGTAAAATTTCTTTTCTAAATGTGAAGAGTAATGAAGTTATATACAGGGTTCAATGAAGATGTTGTAAGAACAGACTGATGCTCAGATGAACCAACANCCCACCCCCACACCTGTGATTTACGTGTGATCTATTAATGACTCATATGATGTTTACTCTGGCACCTTCATCAGAAATTTTTCATTTTTACAGGCTTTTACCTATAATGCATGAAAACCTTGTTATATCCCTGCCATCATCATTAATGTCTAGTGAATTTGTGGCATTATAAAGGTGTTTGGCGATATATATTGAGGGAGATGTGTAAAGATATTGTTCAGAAAAAAGAAAAAAGGGTACCATGAAAGCGGACCATAATACGCCAATCATACATTGAATGAGCAGTTGTCTTTACGGTTGTACATAAAGGGCTATAACCTCATAAATTACAATACGACAATGGCGTTAATTTACATTCAGATTCAGACTTACCATTAGGAGGCGGAGGGGGGTCAAACTTGACCTCCTTGTTAGCGGTTGTAAAATCCCTCTGTATGGTCGGGAAGTAGGACCTAAACAGGTGTAATTCAGTAGGCTGTCTGTCTCCATAGACACCCATTACCACTACCCTGTCAACAACCCAAGGAATTACATTTCAAATTAACTGCTTACAATGAATACTAGAGGTTTTGAATTTCTGACGAAAAATTTCAATGATTACTTCGGCAAAATTTGGGGAAAAGGCAGACATTCACATGTACATCGTATTCAATATTTTCATAATGTTCCATTGATGCTATCATGCATTTAAGTATGAATTTTATTTATTTTACACCAATTATGAAACAAGTTATAGATCACTCTTGTTGGCCTGGATGTTAGCACACAAGGGGTCTTAATGTGGGAGGAACCGGAGTACCCGGAGAAAAAAGCATGTGGTCGGGCAGGTGACCTCATACCTTTTCACGTCCAATTGGGGAATCAAATCCAATTGTCTTGGTGTAAAGAGAGTAGTTTTAAGAGCACATCGATGTTTAAAAAATGCTTTTCTTTGTAAAAACAGGAACTGCCCCTCGTTATTTTGTATTAGATATAACAGTAGCGCGACTCATTTTACTTCTGTTGACCAGGAAACTCTGTTGGTTAGATTGACTGTACAATGATTGGTAGAAAAATAATGGTTGTTTTTAATGATTCTTTTGAATTCAATGGATTTTTCATGGAATTTTCTCTTTTTTTAATGGCCTTAAGCAGTAGTAAATGAGGGGGGATATACTGATGAATATTCTGCACATAGCAATCTTTAATAAAATTCTTACTTTGGGTGACTGATGTCGGTCATCATTCTTGTTTCCCCGAATTCCCTTTTCAACATATCCTCAAAAGGCTCGGTAGCGTATGGTCGCGTTCCTGTGAAGACTTCATCTTTTAAACGAAAATACAATCCCTTCAAGTACGTCAAGGATTTCCCTAAAAGCCAAATGAAGGACAGCCTTTAAAACACAACCAGTTTCCCTAACAAATTTATACAAGAGGATTTCTTGTTAAAATCCAGCGAAGTGCTACATACAGAAATGTTGAACAGCTTGATTTTTTTTCTTTCAAGTAAGCAACGAATATCTACTTATGGGAAATTGCTGCATAATTGAATTAGTGCAAGATGTAGAATTGATTTTGCAGGACATAAATAAGCACTTCCACAAAAAAGTGTCCATCTGATGTCTTAATCTGCATAAGCAAATTGCCTCTATGGATATATTTCATGAGCGCTTTAGCCAGAGTGAAATATATATCCATTCACGCAATATAGGAGTGCAATCTGAGACGTCAATTGCACCGATGCCTGTGTTGTTGCTTTTATTACCTGTTTTCAAAACACATATAGGACTTTTTTTTACAAAAAATCAAAAATTTAAACTAAACAACAGTAGTGAAGAAAACAAGGTCGAAGACAGAATGATTATGTCATCTTTCAAAAGTATAAAACGGCACCAAAATTTTCGAAACATATTGATTTAATCTGTCAAATTGATAACTATATATAACAACGAGTAAGTTATGGCCAAAAAGTGTTTGGCTACAGGAGTAAAATATCATCTTGTATTATCACAGTGTGAAATACAGGACCTTGTATAGCATGGCCTGAAAACTGAGCGTATCGTTACAGTAAAATTCAACAGATGTATAATAGAAAGATTTTATAAAACACATATTGTTTGGTTGTTGCAGGACTGAAAATTTGTTGCAGGACTAAAAACTTATTGCATGAAACACATGTCATTTGCCTGTTTTGGTGGTGCAAGGCTAAATTATATACTGTATAGTTGCCAATTTTCGAGGGAATAAAAATTCGCTATATTTCCCGGTCAACAAAGATAGCTTGAAATTATATACCCGGCAAATATTAATACCATGAATATACACATGCAGACAAACACCTGTTTACCCTTTTGATAATGATGATAAATTTTATTCACCCAAATACAACTAACGGTACCCTCGTGAGCCCAATATTTTTACCTGCAAATGTTGCGCAACATTAAATCCCCACAAACCAGCTCTGATCGGAACAACCGCAAAATATATGCCCCACGAAATTAAACAACTACGAGGTATACAATATTAAAAATAGAAAATTTAAGCACATACCGATGCCGATTCCTAGAGCTAATATTCCACCTGTGCTCGTCCCTCCTATCCAATCAAAACACTCCTTTATGGGAATCCCCGCCTCCTTCTCTACAGCCATCAGAACTTGAATGAGCACCAGGCCTCGTATACCACCTCCGTCTAGGCAAAGCAACTGTAACAAAAGACAGGATAACCTGGGCTCGCATTAATGATTACCAGGTCACCAAATGGCGACACTTTTTCAGATTTGGCAACAAAAAATTCAGATTGGCGATATATTTTGGCGCCACAATTTGTACCTACACTGAAATGATTAAAATCGGTAATCTGTGGTTCTGACTGCTGATTTGGAAACAAGCACTAGCTGGGTACAGTTAAAATTGTTACAGGTAAGTTTGACCGGAGGGCATAACTATTGACGCCGTCTGGTTCCGGAAAATAGGCCAGGTAGAACCGCCATGCTTCAGTAGAACATTATTGACACTTCTCAACACCACAGTTAATACAAATTACAATGCAGTTATAAGCTAACACTATTTGTGATGACCCATTAACGATAGCTCTACTGAAATTTAATTGAAATTAGACCGATATAAAAATAAAACATGACCAGTTTATTCTCCAGAAGAGCAGTGATCGTCCAAACCACATAAATATACAGATCATGAGATTAGAAATTTAAACCCTAACTGATTCTGCAGTATCACATACTTTTCAGCCTGAATTCTGGACATGGACTTAAAGAATCCCATTATTACAAGATTTCAAAAAATTATAAACTCACTCTATCACCAGGTGGGATACCAGTGCCGGAGTCGGGCGAATCGAGGCCAAATCCGGCTTCTTCTGCCTTTGACAATGTCTCATCGAAAGGGAAGGATGCAAACATTTCATCCATAATGGCTGGAAAGAATTTTTATCTAATAATTAATGATAATAATAGTAATTTGAGGTTCCTATATACCGCTTTATCACAACCTAGTTCGTTGGTCATCTCCAAGCGGTTCACAAATTATTATCTGTGGTTATAGGACCTTTGCAACCAGCCAATATATCTTTCTCAACTCCCTAGGGAGTATACAGCCAGTGCTGCCATTTCAGCGCTCACAGTTAGCATTCAACAATTCTAGCACCAACAAACCACATACTTATTTACAGCTGAGTAGACTGGAACAAGCGTAGTAAAGTATCTTGTTTAAAGATACAACACCATGCCGTGATATGACACGAACCCGCAAACCCTTCGGCCACGAGCCCGGCGTCCTACCACTAGAATACCATGCCAGAGAAATAACCAATTCCATTTGCAAAATATGTAAAAATATTTATGATAAAATTTATGTTTAGAAATAATTTTAAACTATATAATGGTAGATTTTTTAATCCTTTTATATACATATAAATGATATCCACTAGCCGATGAATTTATTTAAGAAGATTAGATAGAGAGTCCCACCACTTTTCTACTGTATTCAGGCCTAGAACGCCTTTTAAATTTTATAATTCCTCCATATCAAAAATTGTTCATACGAAGACAATTATAACTTGCTGACGTTTTAAGGGAGTTAGAACATCTTGAAATTATTCTTTGTAATGCTGTAGAAAGTAAATAAATAAATATCTAACCTAACCAAATAACATTTATGCCATTATTGAAGGCTCAGTGTGCACATGTGCGCCACCTTGTGGATCATGAGACGGGAAGATTAGTCTGATCCTTTGAAGTAAATAAAAACAATCCCGTTCAATATTGTCGCAATGTGTGCAGCAAATTCATTTTGGTTGTTTTTGCATACCCAGTATAAAGGTAAATGGCACTAAATCAAAAACATGATCCTGCACATTAATTGCCCCACACGAATCATGCAGTGGGTAACAGCAGGTATATTCTTTTCTTAATCCTTGACCTACTGAGGTAATATTAAATGTAAGATATTGAAAAATGATCAAATCTCAAAGGACTATATATATGTATGGTACGTTTGGGCCTTTTTGGCAAAATTAAAAATCTGCAATATAACTTTCAAACGAATGTTTCTTTAATCTTGAATGCTTCCCCAGTACTATTATGTATATATTTATTTGTGTTGTCAATTTTGGCTGCCATTGGTAACCAGGTCATATTTGCATAAATTATTGAAATTTGATAATTCAGTCAATTTTGACAGGTTTTCACCTAGTTTTTCTCTAAGCTACCATAGAGCGCACTCTTGAACAAACTTTATATTTCTCCTAAAGATGTGTTACAGGTGCCTACACATTATCCTTTGATATTAAGTTTGTTCAAGCATGCTCTCTATAGTTTCTAGGAGAAAAACTATGCAAAATATCCCAATATTCACTGAATATTCAAATTTTTCTAATTTATACAAATTTGAACTTGTTACCATGGCTACAATAATTAGAAATATAAATAAATATTTTCATAATAGTATTTAGGAAGTATTCGAAATTAAAGAAACAGTCATTTCAAAGTTCATTTAAATGTTTTGAATTTTGATGCATTTGGGGGCCAAAACAGGCCCAAACCATACATAGTCCTTTTCATTTATTTCTAATTTTACAGGAGTCTTGTAAACCTAAGCCATTGGAAGTGGTGAACAGAGAGCTTGATAAAGAATCCTAGGAAAGATTTCAATTTTTAACGTCTTGTTAAGATCGAACCTGTTTTGTCAGCATCCATCATGTTTTTCATGGTTTCGTCGGGGGTACCAGCGTAGTTTCCCTCACAGAAACATCCCTTCTGGCAGCCCTTTACCTCCGGGGTGCAGCGCTTAGCCCCAGACACATGTAGAATGAACACAATAATATCCCTGTAAAAAAGATATACAGTGATGAGAATATAAAACTTATGCAAGTACGATTAATTATTAAAAAAAAATCATACCAAGTACATTTACTTTAAACCTTGTTTCCTTTTACAGTGTTTAAAAAAAAAAAAAAAAAAAATTCATTATTGAGGTGATTTTAAAATTTTCACTGGAGAAAAGTATGGAAAAAGAAATTAAAAGAATTAAAACAAAACTTTGTAAAAAAATCCTCAATTTTTGAAGCTAAAATAAAACCGGATAACCATGGATTTGCTAGAAAAGATTATGAAATGACTTAAAATATGATACCACAGACAGGGTGAGTGAATAAAATGTTCGTTACTAGGATTTGAATCATTGAAAAGAACAAGAAGGATGCCTGACCACTGCCAAAAACAGTAACTAGTGTTCAAAGTGTTTTTTTCTGGCATGACTATATAGCTTTCAGGGAAAATCCTGAAATTTGAGCAGTGGGCCATTTCTGCATTTTTTAGTCAATATCAAAATTAGGAGGGGCCATTCTATGTAAAATTCTAATCATCAAACTGTTCAGTGTTCACTTGTTTCCTTTACACCGGTAGTGTAATTTATTGTACCCCGTACTTTAATACCGGTGGTTTATTTTCTATACACCGGTTGACCTTACAGGTCAACCTCGTTTTCATACGTCTTCCTGTTGGTGCTTTTTTATTTTATGTTGTATAATATGTATTTGATTACCCTGATATTGCAATGATTGTTGTGAGAAACTCCTTGTATTAATTTATGCTAACTGTGAGGACATCAGGCATTCTTGTACAATGTATTAAAATTACATGTAGAACTAATTTTGAGTGATGTAAGTTTGTTTATAGATTAAACGAAAATTGGAACATGGAGGGGTCAATTTCAGTTTTGAGGGGTCATTGGCCCCATGGCCCCCTCCTGGATTATCTCTGGCTTCGATAAATCATTTCTTAAAAAGCAAACCATACCTTGCGGGACTTTTAAGGGGAAAAAACCAAAGATGAAATAAACAAAATATAATCTACAAACAGTGTCCTAAGGGGAAAAAGAATCACCTGGGATAGACCGGGATTCGAACCCTGGACTTAGTGACGATCTTTCGCTCAAACCGATTGAGCTTCCTGGTTAACTGAAGTGTCCTGGCCTAAATAATGGGCTACAGTTACTATACCGGGAAGTTTTCACCCAATCATATTTTCGCCCTACATCTGGGAAATCCGAATTTTGCCATTCACATTTCATTACCACTTATATTATGTTGTTGACTAGTGTTTACTGTAATGCTACATTCACTCCCATTCCCAAGGGCGAAAAAAAGTTGAAAATCAAACCGCAGCGAAAAATTTCCGGGTAAACAGTTATACCCTAACGGAAGTTAAGGGGAGGTAACTGTGTATCGAAAAACAACAGTGCGATGGGACAGGGTTCCTTAAAATAATTGGGATTTTTCTTCTTTTATTAAATCCCATCCATGTTTAATTTAACAATTGCGATACATTTTAAATACTTACTTGTTCTTGCCGTTGTTAACAGCTGCAATGTGTCTGGCGGTCTGGTTCTGAGCGTTACACAGATTGACGTCTGCTCCAAACACCACGAAGGTTCGCACCATTTCAACATCATCGTTCTACACACACCATAAACATACGCACTATTTCAACATTTAAAACGACTTAATTTTACCATCGAATTACCAAAAACTATAAATTTGTAAAATCTTATTCAGTGTCTTTAGTGCAATGAAGATGTACAAAATGTTTTATCTTTGTATGTGATAATAAAAGTTAAAATATCTCGTGTAGTATTGACCAATCAGAACAGTGCTTTCTATTTGCTGCCTTAAAAACTGCAGATTATCTGTTCTGATGCTTATGAAGTGACGGTAAATAAAGTGGTTTCTTGAGGTGGTTGAAAACCTCTATTGGTTTGTTCTAGGTTAACACACCCTCAATACAAAAGGGTTAATTCGGGCCAAAAGAAGTGATGGGCAATCCGTTTAAAATCATAATCAATAATTGGTTTGTAATTTTATGGGACTGACCATACAAATAAAGTGAGAGCACTACTGTTACATCAAAAGACAGATTACATTAGGTTTCGTTGTTTTATAGTTAATTGTTATCGAGCAACTTCCTTGATTTTGATCAATCATATACAATAATATGTAGTATGAATCATAAGAATATAGGACTTTCAAAGCATACTTTACATGGAAGACATTTAAATACTTTGATTTCAATGATGAACCGATCATATCGATTATGGAATTTGTCATTGATAATCAGAATCGGAAAGGGCAAACCGATTGATTTTCTATTAGAATCGATCATCAGCCGCTTACTAGTCAAAAGCATGAAAAAAGAAACTTAAAGACTTTACACATATCAAAAACAACTGAAAGATTAAAATCGATCAAAGTGTATTAATATTGTGGAGTTTTTGACATACAATATTCTGTTATAGAGCCCAATTTCCTGTAATCACTTTTGTAAACATTTGTAAAAGTGACTTGTTCAAAAAACAGTTCAGTCATGTAGAGGTGTCACGATTCACCGCGATGCACTTGTAACGCGATTATTTAAGTTCGATTCGATTCACAATATATTTTTCCGGATTTTTGATACGTCACGATCTGAATATTAGTGTATGCAGCTTCAGCCGAAATGTCTGTGAGACGTTAAATTTCATTGGCTGATCTCTAAACCCTCAGCCAATCGGCTGCGAGGATGCATTTTTCACAAAGCATTCATAACAAAATGGCAGAAATGAAAAGTTTTGATGCTCCGGCAAGCTTCAAATCAAAAGTGTGGAAACACTTCGGGTTTCCGTGTATCGACAGCTTATACATCTCATTTTGTTGATATTTAAAAAGAAAAGGTGTATCGAATTGAAATAATCGAATTGTGGGTAAAGTGTATAATGACAGCTCTACTGTCATGTTATGCGAACAAGGCAAATTTAAAACGACTTACCCTGACAGCGAGGTGTAAAGGTGTATCTCCGTTCAGGTCAGCCACTGTAGCGTCGGCACCGTAACACAACAGCACCATGATACAATTGATTCTCTTTTCCTGCTGCATCACGTGTAGAGGCGTGTGGCTGGTCTTACTCTTCACATTCACGTCACACTTCGTCTTACACAGCAACTCCATCATCTGACATGAAAACGTATCGATAAACCATGAAATCTTGATATTAATTGGTTTGTTTGGTTTGTGTTTTACGTCCTATTATAATTAACAGCTATGGTCATTTAAGGACGTGCCAGATTTTAGTGGTAGAGGAAAGCCGGAGTTTCCGGAGAACAACTACCGACCTACGGCCAGTACCTGACGACTTCCCCACCTCAGGCCCACCGACCCAGTGGTGGTGGGCTAGTGGTAGCAGAATGTCAGATGTCTTAACCACTTGGTCTTCGCGACCTCTTGATTTTAATTACCAGTAAGCCTGATTTGAAAGTAGGTTGGCTTTAAAAGTAAGGCTCGCAATCCTTGCAGTTGAGCCTATCTTGAAAATAAGCAGTTTTGAAAGATTTTATTTCAGAATTACTTTAGTGGAAAAGACTAGGGGCCTTTAAGGTTATTTTTGGCCTCATTGGGAATTTTAAATTAGTTGTTTTATTCATAATCTGGAATAAATGAAGTATGCAAATATGAAATTTCAAATTCATTTGACAACTGGATAAGGAGATATATTGCATTACAAAGAGAAACTAATAAACCAACATTTTCATAATAAAATATGTGAATATCGTCTGTTGTGCGCTATTTGGTGGAAAATTGGCCATTTTGAGGGAAATTAACTAAACACTTGTCCTTGTTGAAAGCCTCCACATGCAACAAAAAAAAGAAATATTTGACATGCTTAAAAATTGTCATACAAGTGTTTATTCTTGGAAGGTAATTTTGGTTTGTCACATGCGGAGGTTTTCATTTCTGCATGTTTACTGTCCAAATACGACATATTTTGGCTCTTTCTGCATAGCAACAAAATTTTGTTGCTTTGAACAAAGAAAAAAGAAATTAACCAATATGATGTTTATAGGAGAAATTGGTAAATAAAGACAAGTTGAATTTTTTACTTTTTATGAGTCTAAAAATGACCCATAATCCCTTAAGTCCTTTTTGTGATTTACTGCGAAATTTTGTTTTGACTCGGTAGTTTTTTTCAAATAATCGGTAAACACGATAGTTCTCTAAACATGAAACTGTACTTTCTTCTACCCTTTTTGAATTGCATACAATAGGTAGCAGTATACAGTAGAGGGTTGTGGCCATGGGTGATAATTTTGTTAAATGGCTAACCCCTGTATAATGATATGTAAAATAATTATAAAAATAAAACTGTACTAAAATTGGTATAAGCATGATGAAGTGGGCTATGAGAGCTTCACATTTGTAAAAAAGAAAGAAGATTTTTTTGGTTCGAGAATAAAATTTTGGCCATAATCTGAAATGGTGCGTACACATGAAAAGCTAGCTTTACAGGAGGTAAAATTTTGACAACAGCACACGACGCAAAATTGCAAAAAATCAAGTTTTACAACTTTACTGGGACCCAAATAATTCTGCAACCAGGTAGGTAATTTTTAATTTCAGACAGAGCTTAGGAAAAAAATTACTAGTTAAGGGGGTCAAATTTTGGGTTAAAAATAGCAAATTTTTGGCATTTTTTTGTAATTTTTTATGTGGTAACCATGGTTTTCACACAAGTGACATACAAAGAAAAAAGAGGTTTATACACTTCTCAGTACTTTATATGTATTGTAAATGTAATGCAGTTTACAAATATATATACATGTATACATGTGTTGAGTAGGGTAAATCCGCTGTGTTTACATTTCCTCGACATGTGCCTTGTTTATCAGAGTCGGGCCATTTCTACTGTATACTGCTACCTTTTGTCCAATGCACGCAATCTTTTTCGCCTACCTTATCAGTCCTGGCCCAGTGAAATGGAGTGCCTCCGTTTTTGTTGTCTCGCAAGCTTGCCTGGTCCGGAAACTTCTTCAGTAAAATGTCGACACACCTGAGGAATATAACATAACGAAGATAGCTAATACATCAATACTTCAGTAGGCCTGTCATCGATAAAAATCTGCATAACATCATACACTGCTTGAACCTTGAGGATCCCTGTCCCACTGCACTGATGTTAGTTCTATACACAGTAACCTCCCCTTAACTTCTGTTTGGATAAAGCTGTAACACAGTGCTCAATCGGTCAGTGCAATTGTACTTCAATTTGAAGTACATAGTTCAAATCTCAGTCTAGCCCCGCTGATTTTTTTTTTACACAAAGAATACTTTTATTCACCATATTTTGCTTATTCCATCTTTTATGATTTCTCACAGAAGTACCACAAGGAATGATTTTCTTTCAGAAATTATTTATCAAAGCTATAGTCTTGCCTGAAAAACAGTTTCCAACAGTGAGTTAAAGTGTTCGGCAGTGGTATAAGGATTTCTTAAAAAATAATACATTACTTCATTTGAACTAAAAGGAACCATGTGATTTAATTTTGAAATTCAAAAGTGAAGACATGAATACCTTTGGTTTTCTGCCATAACAGCCAAATGAATCGGGAAACAGTCTGCAGAAGATATAAAGGGGTTAGCTCCGACTTGAAGTAATTCCTCTACAGCCTCTGCACTACCTTTCTCACAGGCCACACTGAGGCAGGTCAGCCCGCTGCGGTTCATCCAGTTCATAATTTCTTTAACGTCGGTTCGAGCCAGCACCTGCAAATATATATGAAAACATAGGAAATCAAACATTTATGTAGCACAACCTGTTTTTTATGACTTACGTGATATTTACACCTTCGAAATCAAAGGGCTCTGTGAATGTTCAAGATGTACAAAATGTGCTTCTGTTGGGATCATGTTACAGAATGTTAGCCCTTGAATGAGACAACTGGTCTTACTAAATTTCAGGATATAGATTTTATTAGTCTGTACAACTTACAGGTATGCAAATTTGCAACATTTACAGTGTATACTACTACTTCGTTGAAATGACTTCTTGTGAAATATTAAAAAAAAAAAAAAAAAAAATATTCAGTGTTCTTGGTCGTTATCGTTGCTATACAGGTTGCTTTCACTGCATGACTTGCGAGGCAAGTGATTGTCAGGTGACAGTCACACGGACATCGTGGTTATCCTATTGCTATAACTAAAAGAGCGACTTGGTCAACAGCTGTGTCCTGGCCCAACTGTGCTACAGTTATAACCATAACAAAACCAAGGGAGAGGTAACTGTATATAATGTAGTTGGAAGGAAGAAGTGAAAAGAATGTGACTTTGTGCGTTTGCTCGGGAAATTCACTCTAGCCGAAGTCTAGTAAGACGATTTACACATTATGTTGAATACACATTCTTTACACCAATCCCTCCTTTTTCCAAGTCTTCGCCCTTGAAGACAACCACATATAAACGTTCTTTTGATCCTCACCAAGGGTTCTCCGTCGATCGATCCGCTACCTTGTAAAGGGAGGGTCATCGGCACCAATTTGTAATAGAAAGGAAGTAGTGAAAGGTATATATGTGTTTGCTGGGCCTAGAACCCGCATTCTCAGACTTTCTAGTCGGATACTCTATACCACTGAGCTAAAGGAAAACTCCCTCTATCTGCAGCTCAACACTATGTACAATGAACATCCTTCACACATCTACGAAAAATCCATGATGCATTGGAACAGGGATCACTTATACATCAAATACAGTAAATATACCGTATTCACTATGATAAGTGCCCCAACCCCTTTTTCGGGACAATTTGGTTATAAATAGACCCCATCCCTCTACCAGACCTGACAATGATTTACAGTACTTACACTTTGAAGCGATCATTCCTATAGATCTCTTGTGTAAGCAGACAAAATATATCCTATCCAAACCTCTAGCAACACTGGAATGTTTATAATTTCGATTTCAACAAATTTTATTGACATAAAAAGTCAACAGGATTGGACATCAGGTGTTGCCTTTATAACTCCTCTCCTTACAGCTACATCCGGTGGTGAACACACTGTTTACATACATTAAAACATTTACACAAAGATGAAGTAACTCCTCCAAAGTCGATTGTACAATAGTGATGTGTGGAGATAATTTCCCTTGTATTCAAAGCTGACAGTGCAAGTTAAAAAGCTTTCAATTGAGATTAAAAAAAAAAAAAAAAAAAAAAGGTTTTTTTCTTCTGGTTTTGAGATCCTCCCTGTCTCTTCCGACTATCGTTTCTAAGGAAGTGCCGAAATTTTTGTTTACCCTTACTTGGTAACAAGTAAAGGTATCGCTGGGTATAAAAAGCGCATTGCCCATCAAACCGGTTATCATTCTAAAACTGACCGTCATGCGATTCAATGCAATCTGATTGATCGGCAACCGATATAAAAAAAAAAGCACCCACCTGAAGACATTGATACACTGACAAGCTAGTTGTTACTTATGGCACATTCTCGAAAATTGTGTACCCAAAATAAAAGGTATATTACAGAAAATACTTCTACAAATCCCATATATATCATCGGTCTTTCACATGCATAGAACTGCACAACGAACGAAAACGTTTTTATGAACTCGTAGCCTTTGTCGTGTAGACGCTTTACTAGCAAAACATGTGCGAAATGCGTCACTCCTAGGTGTGTAGTCAACAATGTGAAATTTGATAATTGAACCGTTCTCATGGAAATGATTGGAATTAGTATTGTTTTCACACAGGAGAAAATAACTAAAAGGTAGGCATTAGCATTCGTCATATGCTTGCTTCTTTCAGGGCCGTTTTTTTGGGGAGGGGGCCCCCAGGCAGGGGTTGTGCATTAGATATTTAAATTGGTCATATTTTACTACTATTTCCACTTCTTAAATAAATGCTTTTTTTTTTTTTTTTATCTCATTTGAAAGCTTTTTAACTTGCACTGTCAGCTTGAAGGACTAATAATAAACAAGTTTGTAAAAACGAATTTATTTAACTAAATATTATAGAAATTTTTAAAACATTTATGTTTTATAGATTTGGCGTTATATCCCCAAAAGATACAGGCCATACAAAGGAATGTTTATAATGCCTCCTGTTATATTGAGCAATGGTTCAAGTTGCACAAATTGTTCTATAATAACTCCCATTTTATGATCTTAATAAGCTCCCCCTTTAAAGCTCATTTCAAAGCACCCTGTGGGCTTATTATGGTAAATACGGTAATTATAATTACCGGTATGGTTTTTGTGTCTCCCTGAACAGCGTAATGGTACACAGTGTCTCCATTAATATCCTGCATCTCCAGTGAGGCACCACATGCCTGAAGCTCTTGGACACATTGGAGTTGTCTCCCCATGATGGCTGCCATGATTGGGGTGGCGCAAGTAGCTGTGCACCGACTGTTTATGAGACTGTAAAACAATAAAAAGAAAATACGATGCTCTGTCTTCTGCTTCAAAAATCACATTAGATAAGTTAACATAACTTTTAAAAATTTGAAAAAAACAAACAAAGGCAAAGCATTGCAAGGCAAGGTCCCCCACCAATAATGTTATTTTTTTTAAATTATTTTCACCCTGTACACCTTCGATGTTTATCTCAAGATCTAATACACCATAACATACTTCTTGTACTCAAAAGTCTGCCAGCAAAGACAAACTTGGGCTAGGTGAAAAAGCAGTAGAAGCCAAACAAACTTTTTCAAAGGATAAGGTCAAAGGTCAACCAAAGGTCAAAGTGACTTACGTTTTGTTCCCAACACTCCATCAACTCAGGATGCACTTGCATACCAAATCTAGTTACTCCAGGTGAAATAGTATACTAAGTACTAAAAAGAAGTTATACCCGAAAAAACATCTTTCTTATGTTTACTTTATTTCTCTTTCCTGTTACTTTCTTCTTTTTTTCTTCCTCCTTACCTTTTTTTTCATATAATTTACTCACCTTTTAATATCTGTAAATTTAAAACATTCGAACAAGCCAACGAACGCAGCAACGTGGGCCGTTGTCCAGGTCTGATGATCCCGCATGCAGTCGCACACCTTCTGCATGACTTTTTCATTGGCCAAAGAGCTACTGCAGTTGGTCAAGGCATTCAGTTTTGGGGTGAACACATTGAACAATGCATAAGCCTCTCCCTCATTGGTCAAGCGGAATATGCTGCAATAACAGTAAAAAAAAATAAACAAAAAAATATTGAAACACTTTCAGGTTGGTTTTTTTTCAAAATTTTACCAGTGTACATGGAAACTGCTTATTATGATATTCTATTTGCCAGAGAAACATGTTATAATAACCAACATATAATAGTATTTTTCAATTATTTCAAGGTTGTCTGAACCGAAAGTGAGATGCCCCATAATCATCAGACAAAGATAGATGGGGAAACATGGTAAGATTGATATTGTAATAATTCAAATAAATTGTTTATTGTTATTTATATATATCAGTGCGTTGGAAAACTTTTTTTTTTTTAATTGTCTTAATGATCAGTATGTAAAGCTACTTTCAGTTTCAAATGACTCCGAGTAATTCCTAAGAACTATTGTAACTGGTTTTTACAAAATTGGTCAAATATCGGTGATAAATTTTCATATTATGAGCCCAGAGTCCTATACCCATCAAAATTTTGTAAATTACATTTGTAAAGATATTATGCAAACTTCAGCTCTATTTCAGCTCTATTTCTAATGAAAAATAATACAATCTCTTCCCAAAAAATTCCTAATTTTCATTCATCTGGTATTCAAATGACAATGCAACTTCTAAAATCTGAAATGAAATAACAATTTGAAAAATTAGAAATATCAAGTCTTAGATGACATTGTGAAAAGAAATGATCTACAACAGCTAGGTTCTTTGAATATGGATAAAGAGGAAACAAATGGTAAACTAGTGTTGCATGTCAGCTTAAACACTTTCACCACTGTAGACAATAATGGACTTATCCAGATCAATGCATGGTAGAGTTTATTAAAGTTACATAGGGGTGAAAGGGTTAATGGACACACTGAGGTAATAAATTGATAATATTTCCCAACTGAAGGCTGTTGATGATTTTTACCTAATAACAAACATGGGGTGGGGTGGGGTGGGGTG